GTTTGGTCGGGTGCAGTTCCCTATATGAGTCTTGTAATCGGAGCTGTGTCATCATCTGACTCAGCGCTATATTGTCCAAACCAGGTTCTCTCGGCGGTTGGGAAGGTGTTTGGGTTGCAGATCTCCTGTCCTGATTGGGGTCCGGTGTGGTGTTGAAGTCCCCCAGCATTATGATGGGGACATCGTCCGGGAGGATGTCCTGCAGCGTGTCAAAGAAGAGGGCTCTTCTAGCCGGTTCGTTGGGTGCATAGACACTAACAAGGCATATTTCCTCCGTGCCAGTTGTTGTCCGTAGCCACACCCATCTGCCATCCGTTCGGTCCCAGTCTGCTTGAACAGGGGTGAGGCGGGAAGAGGGAGGGATCCATATGGCCACACCTGTTGATGCCCCTGATCTGGCCGGGGCTGCGTAAGCAGCGTGGGGCCAGATAGATTTTGCTCGTGCCTTGTGCGGGGCCGAGTCCGTTAAATGGGTCTCTTGTATAGCAATCGCATCAGGCCACTTTCCGGCCATATCTCTAGTTATGAGATTCCACAGTGCTGCCGATTTCTGGTCATTTTGCTGTGACAGGCCATTAACGTTTATAGAGCGGATATCCAAATCCGCTTCAGCCAGCCTTTTGGCCCACTCCGGTTGGTGTCTGATTGGCGGAGGAGGTCGCGACGGGCTGGGACAGCGTGAAGCGTCCCGTGGCTCAAACTGCCCTTGTTGACTGTGCACTCCCCCTGCCTGCGGCTGTTGCTGTTGATGCTGTTGTTGCCCCTGTCAGGACATATCGTCGTTCCTCAGAAGTATGGGCATTATGGAAGTTACTCGATAGCCCCCGCCACCCCCCTGAGAGCGGTGAGAAACGGGGGGTCGTCCCATGTTCTACAGGCATCAAGAGCGTCGCCCTCTAGAAGAGAGCGCAGGAAAATGATTTGCTCTTCTGCCGACCATATTGCATTTGTCCTCATACGGGACACCGGAGCATCCAGCAGTTCCTGGCTGGAAAACCAGGGGATGTGGTCGTCGGGTGAGTCCCGGTGCGTCGTCGAATTGTGAATGATGAGGACCGGTGTCACCCCTTTGGGAAAGGGGAGGTCCTGTGGAAACACTGTGCCCATAGCCCCCCGGTCACCATGCTGGGTGATGTGGTTGCGAAGCATTTGCCTAGTCAGTCTAGACGACATGCGGAGTGTGTCGTCTCTCCATCCCAGGATGGTGAGGCCCGGCGGTGCGTCGTTCGTGTGTTTGAGGAGGCGGCTAGCAATCCTCGACACTCTGGGAGTAGCGCTTTTGAGGCCAATCTGCGAGGCCCCCCCCGGGCAGCTTCGTCGTATTGGTAGCATCACCACCCCCTCTTTCATGCGTTCGTCAGTCCCTCTTGACACCATGTCGGTCTCAGAGATAGTGAGGCGATCACGAAAGAGAGTTCTTTTTTGTATCGTTTTTTGTATGCCTTCTTGCGGCGCCGGGGGCAGAAGCTGCCTCCCTTGTGGGATTGCCAGGGGCGAGCTTTTGAGCAGGGGCACGTCCCAGTCGAAGGTGGAGTCCGAGGAGGAGGAGGAGGAGTCTTCCTCCGTGGTCGGTAGGTTGTGGTTCGAGTGCAGGGAGTGCGGGGAGTGCAGTGAGCTATGACCGACCAGGGATTGAGGTAGCGGTTGGATCTGCAGGATGGGGAGCAGGAGGTGTGGGGGACCAGTTTGTCAGGTCCCGCCAACACGACCGCGCCCTCATTTATCTGATCACCCATTGTGCCCTCCAGCTCCTGCACAATGACGTCTGGCCACTGCAGGCCATCATAATGAACAGTCTTGACCAAGGCTGCCGTGTTGTCTGTGCTTGTCTCGCTTTCCGAGACCTCCCCCTGTTGCAAGGCCACCGTTCGGGATTCGTGGTGTGTATGGTAGATTTTGCGCAGGAGGTCTTGGATGGCAGCCACAATCGCATGAGCCACCGTTCTCCAGTCTATGTCCACTGGGGTGGGGGCAGATTCCAGGGTCGTGATCACTGAGCGTGTGCTCATGAATGCCCCTCTCAGTTTCTCCCAGTGAAGGGGAGGGATCAAGGAGTGGTCTCTTTGCCGGAGGAGGCTCATGAGGATTGTGTCAGTTAGGATTTTCAGGCGGGCTCTCACCATTTTGTCTTTCGAATGTCGTCGCCCAGTTTGCTGCGGTTGCGGTGGTGGTTGCGGGGGCGGGAATCGTATGTCATCCCCTTCTGTCTGAGCTACCATGGCCACATCAATAGCCTGAGGGGGTGGCGGGGCCTCAGTCTGTGGCAAGGGGGGCAAAATGGGACCGTGCATTTCTTCCCTCACTGTAGATTGAAGAAGCACCGTTGTACCAGGGGGAATGATGATGGAGGGTGCTGTCCCGATTCCCAGTGCTCCCTGCTGATGAGCGGAGGACAGCTCCGTTTCTGTGTTGTCCCCCTGGTGTAAAGGCAGGGGGCCCGATTGGTCCATCAGGAGGAGGCCCATTGGGCCATCCGTCGCTTTCGTCACCCCTTCCATCGGTGTCTGTTCTTTGCGGTTTATGCCCAGGAGTGGGGCCGATAGGGCAATGATTTTCTGTTTCCAATGGTCCAATTTGCGGTTATGTTTGTCCGCCTTACCCCGGGAGCCCACTGCCCCTTTGATGATGTGGAGGCCCTGTGCGGGGGAGGCTCTCTTATTTCCTTGTATCGAGGAGGAGGAGCCAACCTGACTCGGGAAGGTACCAGGTGGTGGTGGAGTGTCCGCTGAGGCTGTGTGGTGGGTACCCGGCCGATCTGCAGCTCTGACATGTGTTGCATTCAGGCTCGCCGTCCCGGGGGAGAAATCAACCTGTTGGGGGAGACAGGCAGGAGATGGCTGCATGGGAACTGTGGAGGGGACAGGGGAGGCAATCGGGTTCGAATGGTCAGCCAGTCTCCCGTCCGTTAGTCCTGCTCCCCCTGCTTCCAGGCCGACGCCTTCCCCCGTCGCCCCGTCGGTTTTCTCTGTGTTTTCTGTTCCCACCCCATTTTGCTGTTCACCATCCCGAGGTTCAGACGCTGTTTAAAAACCCAAGCATCCACAGACTAACCTACCAGTTGGGGGCATGAGGCCTGGTAGAGATTTGGCATCAGGATATAGCGGTGAGGCAGGTAGGGTTCGGCTGCTGAAAGGACCTTCAACCACCAATACTTGGCTGCGACGCTTTCCCATTAACGCACCGCTCCTTTAGGGGGTCGGGGTACCGGACCACAATGGCTGGAAGCGCCAACCAAAACAAATTTCGAAACGGTACCCCGGCGCTTCGACGAAAATCGACGCGCGGGGGCATTCCAGGCTCGGCATCGATAACTGGGCCAAGTACTGGTGGTTTAACAGAATCAAAACGATAAGAATTGCACTACTCAAGGAATTCAAGAGACAACAACATAGTCAAGAAATGGCAGTGCCCTAAAATAGGGCACCAAGATAAACAAACAGAGTTAAACTTTATACTACTGTCTTCACCCGAATAGAAGGCCCGGGAATTATTGCCGTATCTGGACTGAAAGTTGCACCAAATACAGCTATAATGACCGGGCGTTCTATTCAGGTGAAGACGGTAGCCTAGAAACAACGGGAAAACAAGGAGGTCGATCATGCAGGAAGAGAGCAAGATAAGCCCCATTTTGGCGTGCCTGTAGTAAATGAATCTATCCAATGATCGGGTCAGAGGTAAGGGGCTAGCCTCCCAGCCTCCACGGTCGGCGCAATCCCCCCTCATGCCCACTCGAATGTCACCCCCCATGCCGTCCGCTTCTCCCCCGGTCACCCCGTCGTCTCTCTCCCCCCCGCTGCCGTCGTACCCCCGCGCCTCTCACCCCACCACCACCTTCAACCCTTCCTGGGAACCCTCCTCCGCCCACCTCTTCCCTCCCTCCATCTCCCCCCCCCCCCCCCCCCCCCTCAGTTCCCCGCCCCCAACACCGTCTGCCCCCCCCCCCCGTTCCCAGGACTCTCCACCCAATACCCCCGCACCTCCTTCCCCCCCCCTTCCCTAAACATCTCATTGGGCCAGCCGGTGCGCTCCCTAAACAAGGATGGGACTGCAACGACGCCCAAGGCAACTCAAGGCAGATAGCGGCTCACTGGGCAACGGCAGCAACGAAGCGGGATATTGGCTCACAAGGAATACTTGTGCAGACAGTTTGCATACCCAATGGTGGAAGGGGCCCGGAGGTAAGATAGACACTCCCTGGTCAGAAAAAGAACATGAAGGCCTGAAGTCAGGTTGACATGGGCCTTCTCTGACCATAATGGAGCGAACAGAAAGGGGGAAAAGGGGTAGAAGCTAGCGGTTAAGGGGCCATGTCAGTACACAAGGGAGAGACATAAATGCAGACACTGCCAGACAGACCCAAAGCCACGCCGGAAACGACGACCAGCAGCAGGAAGGCCGACTACTACACAGCAACGACCCCATCATTGCACTGTATTACTGGGAAGTTGGTTCTGGGCCTACAGCGGGTACGAGGAAGGGGTATAAACAGAGTGAAACAATAGGACTATTGGAAAGTTTAACATGGGTTCCCCAGTGATATGAGGGCGGCACGGCTACACAACAACGACCCCAGCACTGTACTGTAACTCCAGGTACGCGGGATCAGGCCCTGCAGCGAGCACGAGGATGAGGTAGAAAAGGAGGCATCAACCGCACGAAGGCCAAACTACGGTTGGACAACCTTAACTGTGTAATGTAATTTGCGTTGTACCATACCGTACCGGTACAATGCCAGTAGGTCGATCCCCAACTGAGGCTGGACCGGTACNTTTGTACCGGTGGGCAGAGGCCGGCCTCAATGCTGCGAGGCCTGGGCGTGCCCTGAACCGTCCAGATGGACGGTTTAGCCCCAACCGGTGGGCGGCAGCCTCAAGAGCGCCGCCAGGCCCAAACGGTAATGTCGTTTGGGCCTGCCCGTCGGGTCTGGTCCAAGGTAAGGCCTTTAAGGCCTGAAGTATCCCCAAGGTCGGGCCTTTGGGCCCTGGTGTGTCCCTCTAGTCCTAAGTCGGGTCCGTTAGGACCCGTGTGGCGTCGAAGATGTAACACACTCCCCCTCTTAAAAGACCGAGCTACCTACGAGGGCGAAGTTGTCTGTCCGATACCTGGGTGGGTCGGGCGGGACGAGCTGTATCCTTAGCAAGGCGTCGCTTCTCATAGTCGGCGAAGATGAGGGGTGCAGAAGTCTGCAAATCTGTACTGGAGATCCACCGAGTGTCATTAGGCGCACATTGCTTGAATGTGACTTTGTACTGCCTTGGCTTGTTGCCATACTTGCGGTGCGTGATGACTCGGTCAACTTCCTGATGTCCGTCCATAGAAGGCGGATCCTGTGATCGACGTCCGGGGAACTCGTCAGCTGAACGTGGCGTGTAGATGGCCAGCTTCGATGCGTGGAAGACCCGATGCACTGTCAGGTGCGGTGGAATGTTGATCACGAAGGAAGGACCTGCGGGGTCGTCTCCAACGGCAGAAGTGACTTCCCATGGTCCGAACCATTTCGGAAGGAGTTTGCGCGAAACATCCTGCTCGAGCGCAAATTCCTCGGAGAGGACCCAAACAAGGTCTCCCTCGCGGAAAGGACATGGAAGTCGACGTCGGTTAGCCTGCTGCTGCATGCGGATCTGAGACTTTTGCATATTTGCGCGGGCTTTGATCAGCAAGTCCCGGTACTTCCGGACGGAAGCGGGAGAGCAAGGGACGTCTATGTCGGCAGCCTGTGGCAAAAGGAGATCAGCGAAGATCCGTGCTTTCTCTCCACCATGATGTAGCTCGAATGGTGTGACGCAGATCGCCGGGTGCACCGAAGTGTTGTAGGCGAACTCGATGTCGGGAAGCCGGTCAACCCAATCTTTCTGGTCGGGACGGATGAGCGTACGCAACATCATCTGAGCGGTCTGGTGTGCTCGCTCCGTCTGACCATCCGTCTGCGGGTGCCAAGCCGAGCTCAGCTTCATTGTCGTGCCGGACTCGGTCATGAGACAAGTCCAAAAGGCCGACATGAAGCGAGTATCTCGGTCGCTCATTATATCTTCCGGAACACCCTGGTTGGTAATCCAACCGGTGTGCAAGAGTCGTGCGAGCTCAGGTGTTGCAGCATGATACTTGCAAGGAAGGAAGCGAGCATACTTGCTCAAACGGTCAACGGCCGTGAGAATACCGTCATGGCCGTGGCAATCGCGGGGAAACGGGCCTGTCACGTCCATAGCAATTGAGAGGCTTGGTGCCCGAGGGATCGGCAACGGTTTCAGTTCGCCGAAGGGGACTCGAGATCGACCCTTGTTACGGTGGCAAGCTGCACATGACTCAATGTACCTCGTGACGTCGTGAAGGACGTCGGGCCAGTGAAAACGCTGGCGGAGGCGTGCTAGTGCGTGGTTCACGCCAAGGTGTGCCGAAAATCGTGCGTCGTGGAATTCGCCGAGAAGACGAGTCCGTAAGATGCGATCTTGGGGCACAACTAACAAGTCCTTTCCTCTCGTGTGAAGGAGAAGGAACCCGTCGGAAATCCGATAGTGGCTAGCCRRYGGGTGATCCGATGAAAGCTCTGCGTAAAGCGTAGAGTAAGTCGGATCGGACTTGCAGCCTTTGACGAAATGCTGCTGCAGATCGTCATCGAGGTCGAATGCCGTGGTCACAATGGCACAAAAGTCGGGCCGTCGTGAGAGGGCGTCTGCAGCTCGATTGGCGGGACCGGGAATGTGACACGGGTCAAAATCGAACTGGTCGATGTAATACATCCATCGACCGATCGTGCTAGTGACCGTGTCTTGGGTTTTATAAAAGGTCAACGGATTGYTGTCCGTATTCCATTTGAAACGCCGACGGCCGAGAAGAAAGTGGCGCCACCGCTTGAGAACGGTGACGAACGCGAGTAGCTCTTTCTTCCTAGCGTCGTCGAGAGTGTTGACGAGAGGCACCTTTTGGGAGAAATACTCAACCGGATGCCAACCGTCCTCGTGACACTGTTCCAACACCGC